GGTCCCGACCCCACTGGTCTTGAGAGTGAGTGATTCATTCTTGCTTTGCATGTCATATCATATCCCGGTGAGGACCTTTGTTGCCCCTTCATTTGTTCCTCAGATTTGAATATTATGCATGGTTAGTTGTGGTTGGTAAGTGATCTTGTTGAGACTTGCATTGATCCATGAACAAGGTGAGAACTTTTCGTTTGCTAGTTTTTGGTGGCCTCGAATGTCGTTTGTGGTGGATGTCGGTATTGCTTGCAAAGGTTCATGAGTTAGTTGCTAATAGCCATTGAGAATTCCCACTTGGTTCCCTTTGAATTGTCCCCAAAGTTCTTTTGTAGGTTGAAATATTACCTTGTGAGAAATGGTTTGTTTGGGGACAAGAAAACGTCTAAGTGTTGGGGAGTGATTCGGGCCTAATTCTACGCATTTTATCCCCATTTTCCTTGGACGTTTGTGGCATTTGTGCTCCTAAAAGGGTGGTTTAATGCTAGGTTTCTTGTGTTTTAGCGTGTTTTAGGATATAACAGGTGAAACCAGTCTGAGGAGTCAAAAGTTGGACGAAAAGGAGCAAAGACCGTGAACTGGAAGCGAAAACCGTGAACCACAAGCCGTCCAGAGCATTCTCAGAGGTTACTGACGCCAGGAGAGTTCACGGTCACTAAGACCGTGAACTGGAGCTGTTGCCTGTGAGCCCGAGCAAGTGAACCGGTGCGTTTCGACGCAACCCTTTGAGTTCACGGACGCGTTGAGGAATTCACGGCCGTGAACTCAAGCCGTGAACTGAGCCCGACCCCTATATAAAATGTGAGCTGAAAGGAAGAGAGAAGGGGGAGCCGAAGAGTGAGAAAGTGTCTTCTTCTTCAGATTTTAGAGAGAGAGAAAGAACGAACCAAGGAAGAGAGAAGGCCAGGGTCTTCTCCAAGTGGTTAATTGGGAAGATTCTCCCCAAGAGAATATCAACACAAGCTCAAAGGAGATTGGAGGCATCACCATGATAGTTTCTACTCCTTCCTCTTGTGTTCTTCCCCTTTCTATCACAAACTAGTTTCCTTTTTCACTTGGGTGTTGTGAAACCCTAACTATTTACCATGTAGTTGTTGTGTGAATTGAATGTGTTGTTTAATTTAATGATTGAGGTATTTTTCATGATAATTGTGCATGTTTGAGCTTAGCAATTCAATTGGCCTTTCTAACCTAGTTTAGAGGGAAAACTCTCTTTCAAAGGAGGCTCAATTAAGCCGTCCAACTATTGGGTTGAGTGAGAGAGTGAGTCAACCCTCGATTTCCTTGACCAAGAGGGCTACTTGAGTAGGCTATAATGTATCCCTTGGTTTGGAAATCGAGAGTGTGGTGTACGACCATAGTTGCATTTCCTAGCGGTTCGCGGTCACCTTGCCCGTAACAATTAATTCGATTCCACGTGCCATGGTAGTAGCTAGGGGGAAGCAACACCCGAGTGATCCTCCTCACATAGAGCTTTCAAAACCATTTACTTTTGCTTTGCTTTGCTTTAATTATCGAACCTTTCAACCAAAACGAGTCCGCTAGATAATGTTTCAAACAATTGAAGTATGGGTACATGGACCAGCCCGGGTTGATATTTAAACATACTTGTTCTATATTGCACCCTACTAAGGTTTATACTTGGGCCTTAGGTGGGAATTAATTGTGATATTCGAGACGAGTCAGTGCTCCAGAAATCGAAGCTATCTTGTAACTGCCCCAAATATCCACATGAATAAAATCAAAACATAACGTAGACTTGATAGTACTGGGAACAAAAACATCTCTAGTCCGCTTAGCATGCAAACAAGAACGACAAGGTTCTGAATTGTGAATAAAAGAACAATTAACAGTGTTCCGCAAAAAAATCATCTTCACCAAAGAAGGATGTCCAAGCCAAGAATGCCATATCTCTGAATTGCCAAGTGACCGCCGAACTGTATGCGCCATGGGGTGAGCACTGTTAAACAAGTAGAGATAGTAGAGGCCATCCACATGTTTACCATTCCCAATCACCCTACTCAATGGTAAGTCCTGAATTACACAAAATTTACGCAAGAATATCAACGCTACTGGAAGGTCTATTGTAAGACGGCTAACCGAGAGAAGATTGCACTGGAAGGCAGGAACATGAAGGACCCGACGTAATCAAAGATCTTTTGATAATGTGGTCGAACCAATACTGTGAACTTTGACCCCTGTGCCATTAGGGATCTTAACTTGCAAGGTTGGTGAAGTATCCAACTCGGCATCCAACAAGGAAATATCATTAACTATATGTTCATTACAACTAGGATCGATAAACCAAGTTATTGATTTAACGATTTGAGAAGGTAACATACCATCCATGATCGAGGAAGGCTCGAGTGAAGCGCGAGCCGGTAGCGATAGATCAAAACCCAACAACGCCTTCAATTCCGCAATCTGGGCTGCGAAGAGACCAGGCAGCGAGCTAGCGACAACGTCGACTTGAGCTGCCTATGGTGACAGCTATAGGACACGATCTGGGCACCGAGTACCTTCTTGGCGATCAGCCCCGCGCCGAGGATATCCAACAAGCTGGTAGCACGTCTCCTTGGCATGACCCCGATGATGACAATGTGAGCAGCGGGGATGATCATCCGAGTCTCGATCTGACCGAGCAGGATGGCGCTCTGAGCGATCCGAGTGATCCTGGCATCGCTTCGCTTGCGCCTGAAAGGCAGCTGCTTCGCGTCTTGGGCGACGATTGCTGGAGATTTGACGTTGTTGTGCATCATTCATCATCAACTGATACGCCTCTCCAGGTCTCGGGATTGGTTTCATCGCGAGAATTTGAGATTTGACTGTGGAAAAAGCATCATATAATCCCATCAGAAAATCAAAGAGTCTTTCACCTTCACGTACCTCTCGCTGTCAACGTTTCATGTTATGACTACAGTCGGAACATGTGCACTCTAGCGAAGGAGTAAGGGATTGAATCTCGTCCCATAGTCCCCGCAACCTGGTGTAAAACGCCGAGACGGAAGCCTTTTCTTGTTGAAGTGAGATTGATGGCAACTCATAACTCATGAGTCAAGAGCTTTCTCCTGCTAGGCGCAGAATGGCCGTATTAGGATTAGTTTGTTGAGAATTTGATATATTCTCATTAACCATTAAGAGTGCTTAAATAGAGTTTACAATGTAACCCGATAACTTAAAGGAAAAGACACAAATCCTAGTTGCGAAAGAAAGTGTCTATTGGGCTTGGGCACCCGTTCCGACTTACTTCTTTGCATGGGCTGCATGCCCGCCTCCACTATCGACGAGTTGCCATTAGACATGATGGTTTGCTTGAGTTCGTACAAACGTGAGGTGCTGCTCGCTTCGAAGTGAGTTTGTAAATCAACCCAGATTTCCCGTGTCGTGGTTGCAAATCGCACACTGCTACAGACTTCCTTTGTCATGGAGGTTTTAAGCCAGCCCTTGACCATTATGTTGCACTGCTTCAACACCTCGACTTCGGCAGGGGTTTGCGCCGTAGGAAGGCTTCCATCCACAAAACAGAGTTTGTTCTTTACGATGAGTGAATCGGTAAATTCCACTACCCACCCATCGTAATTGACATTACTAAGCAAATCACCCACGTAGAGATGACTGGAGCTATCAGATTGATGAAGAAGGAGGTGCTGCGAGAAAGCCACGGAAGAAGAGGCCGCTGACTTCAACTTGGATTCTGAGGCCTTCATCTCGTCTTCGGACATGACGAAAACTAGGTCGGATCAGACCTGCTCTGATACCATGTAAAAGAAAAATCTTCGTTAGTGTGAGTAAAGAAAGTAAATCGAGACACGAGATTTACGTGGTTTCCCCTTTCGATGTTAACAGGACTACTCCACGGAGAGCTCGAGGCTCTCGGGCTGAAATCTTATTATCACAACTTGTTCTTCTCTCTTGGTTACAGCGGCAGCTGCAGCTACTTACACACACACACACACACACACATATATATATATGGCGAGTTCTATGGTACCCTGGGTGAAATCCGGGGTACCGCATACCTTGAATATGAAAACACTATCTAGACCTTGAATTGACCGATCTTTCGGACATGATACTATACTCTAACACTTAAAGATCAAAATCTAGGTGTTAACTCTCCCAATCTTATACTCCAAGATCAATTTAATTAGAAATAATAATCGACGGTTATGATTCATCCAAATATAGGCACAAAAAGGAATGCACCATCTTAGGGTTTATAGATTATGATTTAGATAATTATGACCTAGGGTTCACTCATTAAGGGTTAGGGTATAATATGAGACACAAAAATCCTGGTAATTTGAGCTCTAGATAGAGTTTCCATACTCGAGGTATGCGGTACCCCGGATTTCACCCGGGGTACCATAGAAGCCACCATATATGAAAATAACCCTAGCTCTCTGAATCCTCATGCAACGTGGAGAGAAGGAAAATTACAACAGTAATCCCTAAAGTTATTAGTGTGTACTTAGAGATCACAACATTTTTTCATTTTAATATTTCTTTTTCTATGAATTCTGAAAAAAATCGACTTTTCTGTTGAAATCTTCTTGCTCCTAAATTTTATTCCGTTTATAGGACTAAATTACTATTCTCTTCTTTTGTAGAAAAGTTTCTTAGAAGGCACATTATAAGATACATAAGATAAAAGACATTTGAAATATCTATTTTTTTTTGTTACAGAACACAAGCTCAATTTACATGTTTTTTTTATATCGTATAAAAAGGTCGAAAATTGGATTGGATTAAAAACGATATTAATCATGACCGGATTGGATTGAAACTATCAGGTCTGAAATACCCTGAAAATCGAAAACCTAATCACTTCTCTCTCTCACACTGCATCGCCTTTTGTATTATTTACCGAGCTAGTTTCAATGATCATACGCTAGGAGATTTATTATGATTTATGACATACTATAAGAAAAATAATATGGAAATGACCAAAAAGTGCACCCCAAGATATCGAATAAACCACTTGGCCATTCATAACCCAATTAATACGTATCATTCATTCTCAACCGATGGACTTAATTTGACAATCACAACAAGATCGAAAACATAAGAAACGATCAAGGGCGCCGGTTTTGCGTCAATTGTTATGATCGACTTCAACAAATTGGTCTATCTCTCGAGCAAAATTGTTCCGTCGAATACTTGAGGCCACAATCATGAAGTTGGAGGTCGCCTGCCAATCCATGTTGGCACTCATCATCCACCAGGCGAAACTGTGCGTTGTAGAGACAGTTTGTGCAGTCGTCTTGAGTGCTGGACTCGGCGCAGTGAGCAGAGGTGAAGACGAAGAAACTGAGATAGCGCTCACCTTCACACGTGGGAGGCCCTCCGGGAACCGCGACAGCAATGGCAGCATTGGAGGTTCTCAGTACCGGATCTCTAATGCCGTAGAATTTCTTGTCACCTATCGGGCTACAGCATTGGGCGACCGTGGTTGTGTTGGGAGCGCCTTTTAACGACGACGTGGCTGCCGCCGTCGCTAAAGATGAGTAATAGTGCGGTAAGGACGATGAATATTGGGGTCTTCATAGTGCAGAAAAAGGGGTGAATCGTTGAGTTCATGGTGCGAAAAGGGGGCGTATTCCATTTATAATATGCTTCACGCAGATATAAACATAGCTGAACATGTTGAAATTATTATGGTCGGCCGGGAAGCCGGCAAAGCACTACAAGAACAAAGTCCATAAATATATAATTACGCAAATACTGGGACTTGCCAAATGTGGGTTCGTTTCTGATCATTGGTTTCAATTTTGTTGGATCTTTCATAGAAGACAATTTTGTTGGTGAATGTTATAACTAGGTTTTGCCCGAATTCAATTGTCGTATACATTGATACAACTCATATACCCTATCACTAGGTTGTGCCGGAAATAGTTTGGTTTTGTATGTAACAGAGAACCCAGCTGCAACGGCTGTTTTATATAGTGGAGTTTTGCTTTCGTATATATGTTATTTTATTTTTAAAGATAAAGAACTGAAAAGAATGGCCATGCATTTCCTATACATATTGGTAGGGCTGGCTATTTGGTCCCGGACTGTTTGGTTTTACCCGAAACCGGCCCGTCTAACCCAGATTGGGACCGGACTGGGACCAGATAGCAAACAATGCAATCTCATATTCGGGCTTAGATTTGAGGTAAAAAACCAGATAAAAACCGGATAAGAGACCCCCAACACCTAAAATCAAGATAAAATTGGGACCGGACCGGATCAAGACCGGACTGTATCCAATCCAATCTTTGGTCCTTATATTCCCGAAAAGACCGGACTGGGACCGGATCAATTTGGTCCAATTTAAACGGACCGGACCGTATAGCCACCCCTACATATTGGATCATTATTAATGTCCAGTGTAATTTCCTTTTGTAAGTCATACGTGGCAGAGCTTTCCGTGTTAAAACCTAATTTGTTAGCATTGTGCTAATACTATTCCTAGTTTCCTACACAATAGGAACATTTTGTTTTGATAATTTTGTATTTCAAGGGTTTGATTAGCACAATTCATGCAAATTTATAAAATGAGGGACACTCTTGTTGTTAAAATTGAGAAGCCACACGGGTGTGGCGATGTGCATTAATTTTGCATCCCACGCCTCACCACAAGTATCATGAAGTAGACTACAAAACACAGACTTGAAATAGAACAAACCATACCAAAAAAAGGTTATAAAGCATACTAGAACCTTATCACACCATAAAATTCATAATAATAGAAATATCAAAGCATACAACATGTTCCCCGAAGCAAACCATGCAAACGTTCTTTAAAGCAGGCCACAATTTTATTAAAGAAGATCACAAGTTCCCTTGAAGCAGATCATCAAAATCGAAACTCAAGAATTTTGGGGATAGGACTGCCATGCCTGCCCGATAGTTTTGTGTCAATCTAAAACAAACTAGACACATGTGATCTTGAGAGAGAGAGAGAGAGGGAGAGCGTTTGGTTAGGGGGAGGGTCTGGCAAAGTATTCTGCTAGTGCGAGAGATTCTGAGAGGGAACGCGTTCCGGATAGGGAGGGGTTTTTGTCCCAGCTGTCGAAGGTTGGAGATGGAGGCGACTCTTGGGAAAGTTGTCGGCGGTCAACGCAGATGGGTTCAAGGACTGTATGCTTGAACAGAGGGCTGTTTATAGGAAAGATTGGGTACAGACTTCAGGTGCAAGAGGCGAGTAAGAAGTGGTCCATCGTTATGGACGAATCTCAACTTGTGTGGCTTCAAGGAGTGCTGCAAACAGCGGTGATGCGATAGTGGTGTTTCCCATGTGGTTGTATGAAGAAGAGTGGTTTGCGATCAATTCATGTGGGGAAGAGAGTGAGGAAAGAGGATTAACAGATGCAAATTGATGAGCAGGGCCCTAACGGGAGGTTCATCAAGGTTCTCATTCCTGCGGCAGGAGTTTCGAAAGGCTGGGCGGGCATCATTGCCCTTATCCAAGATTTTTACCATGTGCCGAACATCAACTGTGGATTGAGGAGTTGGCTAATACGGATCTAAAGGTTGACTTGCCAGTGGCCCCTTGCTACCTGAAGCATGTTGTATCACCCAAGACCTACGCTCAAGCTGTCACAGGTGGAGGGTTTTATGGCGCTGGTAGATGCTCAATCGTTTGGGACCCAAGAGGTACTTTTATTAAAGTTGGTCCCGAAGGAGTCTCTGAAAGATACAATGCTTTTGTTAGTTTACAGAAGGGATTGCTGTGTTGGAAATCTTGATTTGTATTCATGTATTACAAAGGTTTATATACAGGGAGATTACAACAACGAGAGATGGCTACAGTAGTGATACATTGATGAAAAATGGGCAAAGAAGATGATGAGGGATGGGAGCTAGCTGGAGGGATGGAGGAAGATAACAGATGAAATAGATAAATACATTTATTATTTTAACACCCCTCCTCAAACTCTAGTTGGGTCGAAGACACAAACTTGAGGTTGTCAAATAACCATGATGAACCTGAGCGTGAAAATCGAAACTAATAGAGATGTCATGATGTATGTTTGTAGAACGAACTATAGATCTGATCACCTCCCTGGTGATAGGGCATACAATATTGTATGTAGACCGGAGCATCTGAAATTATATCGTCACCTCCTCGGTGATGAGCAAACAATCAGAGAACTCAGCAAGAGATCACCTCCTCGGTGATTGAGGTATACATAGTATGCAGACTTGAATATGAACACATCTCATCGCCTCCTCGACAACAAGAACATATTCAGCGCAAGTAATACGAACAACATTTCAAAGGTGGGACAAAGTTGGGCATCATTTTAGAAGAACTTCAAAATTTCAGGCACCATATGGTAAAAGTCGACAACACAACTCTGGAGATAATAGAAAAAGTCGGGAAATTTATCAAAGGAAAAGGTTTATTGGAAATATGATATGGGTGAAATGGCAAATTGATTATGGGGTTTTTGGTGGAGTAATTTAATTAAAGAAAATGCCAAAAAGGTAATGGGAAGAAGTCGGGGGGGGGGGGGGGGGGGGGGGGGGGGGGGGGGATTGGGGATGGGTCTTCTGAAAATTAATAAGGTCCTTCTTTGTCAACTATCATATTTATTTGGTGGTGAGAGACTCAAACTCACGGGGAAATTGAGGTGGAAAGAGAGAGAGAGATGAGAGGACTACCAGTAGGCAGCAGATCCTACCATGTGCTAAGGAGAAAAGTGAATGGGTGATCGGGCAGAAGCATCAATGTGGCACATAGGGACGAGATCAGCGGCGGCGTGGGGTTCGGGAGCTGGAGCAGTCGCAGCCGGCGGAGGAGATGTGAGAGGTGAAGTGGCCGATGGCACGGAGCTGACTGGTTGGGTGTGGCCGGTGGTGTTGTGGAAACCGAAGTAGATGCGGAGGCGAGTGGCATTTTAGATATGTGACGGTTGTGTTTTTGAATCTAGAATTTTGGGGCAACAGGTGCAGATAGATGACGAGGAAAGGCAGCAGGCACTGATGGGGAACGGAGGTTGCATGTACTTGGAACAGAGGTTGTTTTGGCGGGATTTGGTCGAAAGTGGAACAAAGACCCGATTATGACAGGCAGCGGCTGAAAGGCAAGGGCGGAGACTGGTGGCTTGGAAGCTGAAGCAAAGGCAGTGGTCTGATTTGCAACTCTCTAACGAGTCGGCGGTGACTGGGTATTGGCTTAGGAGACAACACAGAAGCAGCGGCGGGATGTTTAGAGACGGGATCGGATTGTGGTGATATAAGACAGATCGATAGCTGCGCAGTAACGGAGACTGCGGCAGAAATCCGACGATGACAGGCAACAAGTAAGCTGCGGTTGAAATGGAGCATATGTACAGAACCAAAAAGGAGACGAGAAGACGTATTGCGGATCTTTGCTGCTGCGCCGATGGCAGGTGATGGAAGGGAGATGTGTGAGGAGACTGGTGGAATACGCAGCTCGAGCTTGGGAGAGGAAGCAAGACAGTGGTGAACACGGAAGAAAACAAGTTTATTTTTCTTCTTTTCTTTCTTTCTTGGAACAGGTTGTAGAAATCGACAGTGCGGAAACGAAAGAACACGAGGCAAGATTTACGTGGTTTCCCCGTTCGGTGAGAACGGGACTAGTCCACGGAGAACGTGAGTTCTCGGCTGATCTGTTATTGATGATATTCTTAGTTAGGGTTTTGCATATAAGCTCTCCCACTTAAGTACACGTTCGAACCAACCCTAACAACAATTAACAAGGGCTGGTTAATTACAATGTGATCTCTAAACTTAATAATAAGCCTAGAAATCACTACACTCCCCCTCAAGCGAAGGAATGAATATCAAGAAGTCCAAGCTTGACCAGAAGGTGAGAAAACTGATCAACACTAAGACCCTTGGTAAAAATGTCTGCCGGCTGGTCTGCAGTAGCAATCTTTAGAGGAAGAATGTCCCCCGACTGAACACGCTCCCGAACGAAGTAACAGTCCATCTCGACATGCTTGGTGCGCTCATGAAACACCGGGTTCGTCGAGATATGCAGAGCAGCCTGATTATCACAGTAAAGAGGAGTGGGAGTGGTGTGGTGAACACCCAAATCACGCAAAAGCCACCGAAGCCATAAGACTTCACTAACAGTATTCGCCATAGCGCGATACTCCGCTTCAGCCGAAGAACGAGCAACAACTGACTGTTTCTTGGTACGCCAGGAAATAGGAGAGGATCCCAACTTTATGAGATACCCCGTAGTCGAGCGGCGGGGTGCCACCGGTACTGAAGGCACAGCAGCCGAGTCCGAAAGAGAGAGCCCGTTGTCCAGCCCCGTTGCGGAAGAGTCAGGGCCAGGTGATGATGATGACTCATGTGCGGCAGTGGAGCTAGAAGAAGGAGTCCCGGTCGAGAGACCAGGGGACGACGGGGAAGGCTGATCCTGCGAAGAGGAAGTCCGGGTCGAGAGACCAGGGGAGCTCTCCTGCGAAGAAGAAGTCTGGGTCGAGAGACCAGGGGAGCTCTCGGCCAGAGTAGAAGTCTCGCCCGGACCTGGACGCGAACCGAGTTCAGCAGGGGGATCATCATCCCAAATGGGTTCCGCGCGGACAGGAGGTGGCCGAGGCAACGCGTTCTGCGTGAAAGTGGGTGATGGATCAGCCGACAGGCAATAGGGAAACACATCCTCAAGAAAATTGACATCA